GCGTAGAGTCGATCTCGAAAAGCGCGGTAAAGAAGACGCGCAGCAATGAGGGCTGCGATGACCAACATGACTATGAAGAACCCTCCGATTACGCTGAACCCGATGCGAATGTATCCCGAGTACTGTGACAGTCCATTGTCCACAGTGGTGGAGAGGTCTTCTAGATTCTTGGTCACACCACCAACCTGTGCACTGGTGTCATTCCAAAACTTGTTGATCGAATCGAGCACCGTTTTGAGGTCAAGATTTTTCTCGACTGAATCAACCATTTGGCCTGCAGACGATTTAATATCCTTGATTGCATTAGTGACATTTGCCAATTTATTTCCTAAATCTGTTACCATGTTTTCAAGTTGAGTGGTAAAGTTATTTGTCACCGTTGTGTTGATTGCACCGAGATCAATTGGGCAATACAGGCTTCCTGTTGCTGTCTTTAATGAAGAAGGAAATAAGTTAAATGTTTATCTAGAGAAATAAAGTTATTAATTGCATCTTCTACGTAATTAATAGTTTTGACCAGGTTCAGAGCAGGGCCAATAAGTGACTTACAATGCATGTCTGTACCCAAGGCCTTTATTTACAGGATTCGCTCTGCTACAATGAGTCTCCATCGCCTTTGGTCTTTTCAGTCGTTTTTGCATTGCTGCTCCTTGACGCAGATTGTGACTGCCCCAATTAGGAAATCACATATTTTTTTAAAAATTGCTGACTGGTCCGCTCATTCCTTGCCACAAAGTACTAAGTGGATGTCGACTACAACTTACTTTCAATTCTTTGCAATCGCTATTGTTTTCGCAGTCTTGAACGACAGCAAATGCCTTCTCAAATGTTTCACGGGCTTCCTTCATCTTGTCGCAAAGATTGGAAATGTTTCCCTGCAACGTGTTGATCGAAGTACTTGCACCAGAAACATAGACGGAGAAATTTCTCATTGCTTCAACAGTGTCGTTTCCTTTCGTCAAAACATTCGACACATTCAAGTAAGCCAGCAGATCATCAATCGTTCCAGACAGTCCGGATGAAATTTGTGCCTGAAACACATGCAACACATTCATTTAGGAATTTATGAGGTAGGTACGGGCACAAACACTGATCCAGAGCAGTCACACCAACCAGTCAGCCATAGCGTCATAAAGCTGAATCGCGTAGGGAAATTAACAATTGCAACCGTGATCAGTTTCCGTCATACCAGGGGAACCTTATGGCGCAATGCGTTTGGACATAGCAAACCTAACTTAACGACAACGTCGTGACGTGGTTAGGTGAATTAGATTGTCGCTTGTAAGTCCCAACGTCATGACCTATACACAAGACTCGTGCCAGCCACTAATCGACTATGGTTTGGAAAGTTCATTGAACAGAATCTAAGCCAAATGTTGCCTTACGTTTGTTTTCTTGATGAAATCGGTGAGAGAAGTGTTGGTCAGCGTGCGTCCGGACTCAATGCCTGTGTTCAAGAACTGCGTCACGTGTGTTGTGAGTGCTTGCAGTCCATTTTGGATGGAACTCGTCTCCTCTGCACTCCCGTTGTGGGCTTCTAGGTAGCTCATCAGCACAGCGATGCTGCTGAAGTAGACGAATATGAGGATGATGCAGGCTGCCAGGAAGGCCATCGCGAGAACCAGAACTGCGATGTACGCGATGCGACACACCAGTTGCTTGTGTCCAAATTTACTACGCAACGCAGCCACTTGCAAGGGATTCATCGTTCCATACACCTAAAACAGAACACCAAAGCACTACTAACGAACAGTTAAGCACAATTTGGTAACAGTAACTAGACTGATAATGGTAAAAAAGGGAAAATGCTCTAATTATGGAAGGAAAGTGTAGGTGTTAGTGTGATTCCAACATTGGTGAGCACTTCTATATCAATGAGTTCTACGAGTGGCACTAAAAATTTGACTAAATATGACATAGGACGGAGAAACGAAGAATGCGGTTAGAGGGACACAACGTACTCCCGTCTCGCCACCACTACTATCACCGCAGCAACAGCAGCAACAGTTGATCACTTGGATTGCGATAATCAAGAATACGATGAGCACGTAGAGTGCAACTGTGGTCCAGAAGATGTCAGGCTCGCGGTTGGGGTGGGCGTGGGCGTTGGCCACGCCAGACGCCCCACCTCCCAGACTCTCGGGCATGACCTTT